AAATGAAATTTAATATACATTTGTACAACACCTGCAAAGCAAAATAAAAAGTGTGCAGCATTGTACACTTTGCTGCACACTTTCAGGTACATTAGACAAAATAACCTTAAATTTATTCTTCAAAACAGCATATAAAATAGCTTTTTTCTTGAAGATGTTGCACAATGTACTATTACATTAAATCTAAGGTTATGTGATTGTTAGGTATGTAATATTAATTTTCAGTAACTTTTATCGTAACATACTGAATGGATTGATTTGAAATTTTATGGTGGAGTTCCAAATATGATAAAAGGAATAGTTGTCAGGTGCGAAAATGTTGATACATTGTTAAATAATTATTATAAAACACTTGAATAAAATAATTAGAAATAATTAGAAAATGTGGGGTTACGAGTGACCGATTTTCTAACAATTTTTATGCCTTTTATTTTCGGTTGACGATAACTAAAATCTATTAATATTCTAATATACAAATTTTATTTTTACATTGAAAACAAAGGTCAATAAAAAAAGTCAGTTGTTTATGTACTTAAAATTTTTAGTTATCGTCATCTCTGACGATTACTGACACACGGTGAATTTAGAGTTTTAGTTATCGTTTTCCTTAATAATAAAATAAAAAATTCAATACAGTAAAACCCCACTTGCCGCCGGTCACTAAATCCCACATACCGCCGGTCCCTCTCTCTTAGTCTATAGTCGTATCAATGAAATCTAGTGTGAGCAACCATTACTTTTAAATTATTCCTGATACTACTGCACATATTATAATCATTATAATATACAAATAATTTCGTTATTATTATTTTATTTCAATGGTTCATATATTATATTATGTTATACAATATTTATAGTACATAATAATATGCCCCAAATTATGATGTAAGCGCCCTGTATAATACGGACCTATGTTTTGACTAAGGGGACGCTGTTAGTCAACTGGCGGTAACTGGGTTCACCGGTCCCCAACAACCGGCGGTAAGCGGGGTTCTACTGTATTAACTTATTTTTTTCAATCCATCAATAGTAGTTTAATTACTTTATGACAAAAACATAAGCTTAACTTTAAATTCATTTTACACTTCTTTGATTGTATCTGTCATTCGCCTAACCAGAACTTAAGAAATGTTGTTGATCTAGTCAGTACATGCACTGAAAAAAATTCCTAACCCCCGTATACCAGGAATTGACTAATTTGACTGATGGTTACGAGAGGAACCCACTAGGCAATCTTGGTCAAAGTTGATTTCGACAATTAGTCGGAATGACTAGGGAAGCTTATCAGAATAACCAGGTATCTTAGTTACATTGGCTAGAATCACTTTGACTAATTAAACTTTAGCAAAATTGACTATAGATACATGCGATATTAACCAAACACCGTAGTTAATATAGCTAGGAAACAAGGGGTCAATTCTATACTAAATCGACTTTGACAATATTAACCAAGCTATACATAACTATAGGATGCTTGCGCTGACTAGATTTAAAGTTGCTATGGTTAATAGTCATTAATGCGAAGCAAATTTTTTTGCAGTGTGGCCTTGTCACGAACTCTATACTACTTTAATTGAAAATTCAATATTTACACGACGAATTTGTATCCTTTTAATGCTGAAAGGTTTGATTTTATCTAAACACACAATTAATAACACGGGAAAGTTACACAGATCTTATTTTTTACAATATAATGTACTAGCTGCCGATAACTATTAATGCACTGACGATTACTAGTGCATTTACCTTATAGAAATTTTTCGTTTGGGGCAGCTGCTGCACCAAAATTTTTTCAATGTTGGTATTGCCACATTTTTTAGAACGATGGCGCATTCATCGTACTCCGTAAATCCGAATAAGTTTGTATGCACTTATTTATATTTCAAAAATCTTCCACGTGAAAAAATAAGTGCATATACGCACTTATTCATGACTAAAATTTTCCCTTGTTTTAAATGTATACATATATGGACTTATTTTTTTACGTGGGAGACTTTTTCCTTATCCAGATTTAGAGAGCAGTGTTCAATTATATACGTGCGTAATGACAGACTTTATCTTTTATATTTAGGTATACTTTTAATTATCAGTTCCAATTTTTCAGAATTTTTTTTACTTAAAAACAATATGGATAGAAAAAAAAGAAAAGCCAAAAGAAAATTGAATTCGGTCAACAAAGCATCGAAAGAATAATTTGTTTATATAATTTTTTTTACAAATTAATACTTTTGTTAGTTCGCTAGTCGACCAAAAATTAAAGTTAACTTTATTACTAAGCAGTTTTGTAGGACTGCTAGTTGAACAAAGAATAAATAGCAGTTATTAATAGTTTTACTTAATAAAAAAAATTTGTATTATTAAATATAAAAATTTTAATCACATATGATTTTAAAAAGTAGGGTATCCGTATATATAAAACTGACAAAGCCTTTATCAGTTTTACCTGAGTAGAGTTTTGGGGTGTAGAAAAACATAACATCCTTGTAAGACACTATAGTCACTTTTCCGGACAATGGCTTTAGAGATCTGGCAAACTGGCGAGTACCACACTAGGCCCACATCAAGATTTCTGCACGAATATTACATAGAAAGTCAACAGTTTCATTTCAACTATTTATAGAAATTTTGTTTAAGGGGTTATATATACCTTTATGGGCATAAAAAAGAGGAATTTTCAAAAAATTAGTTAGCCTTTGTTTAAAATGTTTTTAAAACGAAGTTTATATTTTATCGAATAGTTCATATTTCGATGTACTTGTATATAAATTTTTATTAAAAAATATTAATAATTGTGGAAACACCTTTCATTAAAACACCTTTTTTGATAGCTGCTTGCGGTGACTGCGACAAGTCAGACAGAGTTTAACTAAAATTAAAAAACAATGGAAATTTCGTTAGTATATTATATTACCTCGTGCATGAACGAAGGATTATAAAAAAACACATTTTTCTAGAAATGGCGATGACTTTTTCTCAAAAATTGTGATTTTAGGGCTTACAAATTTGGTTTTTTGAGCAAAAGAATATTAATTTTGATTCAAATTTCTTCGTTCACGCACTAGCTATTGTATGTATAAAGAACCCTAGAAAATTTCAGCCCGATCCTCAAAAATCACGATTCCGAGGTAATAGCCTTTAAAGTTTCAAGCGTATATATAATCTTCTTTGAGAAGTTGCGGATTAAAACAGTTATAACTTTGGTTCTAATATGTACTTTTGATATATGCAATGGAAAAAAATAGATTTTTTGACCCATGAAAAGGTTTATAACCCCTTAAATAAGCTAACATTTCAACAGTTTGTTACGTTTATATAAAGCAATAATTTACCAAAGTTTCAAGTCAACATTCAATAACCACGATTAACTTGAGTATAACTTAAATCCTCTGATAATAAAAACTACACTGAAAAAAAAATTATTTCATTCAAATAATTGGTTACTTGACTATTATCAAATAAATATTCATTTATATCAAATAACTATTATTTGAGTCAAATAAATGGTATATTTCTAATATGTATGGATGTCATAAATGATCTCGTAAATGATCAAATTTAAATTTGTAAGTATATATAATATATCGTAATGATAAAATGGTCAAAGAAATTAAACTCAAATGCAACAATTCCGGAACTGAGTATTCGGACAACCGCAACGTACTAACATGACATAAATAATTGTTAAGGGTAAGTCAAAGTCGATGTAATTTTTACATAAAACTTGAATGGAAAAATCACATTATATGTATATTAAATAAGCATTCAAGGACACGAAAATCCTAATTTTAAATGATATTATGTTCTAATATTACGATATACAATTTATATCAATCAATTAAAAACTTAAAAATACAGATTTTAAATTACAAACACTTTAGATTTTTAAATTATCTCTCTAAATCTGAATTAGTAGTAGAAAACTACTAATTAACAGTAAAACCGTGAACGAATCTGCCCTATTTCAATTAATTTAAAAATAACTAATTTTTAGTAGAAAACAACTAATTTAACAGTCAAATTTGACTAATTATTTGTACAAAAATTACTAAAATATTTGGTAGACATAAATCTACTAATTTTTTAGTCATGTAACATAACCTAAAAATTAGATTAACTAATGAATTAGTCATTTTTGACTAAAAATTAATCATTACTGTTACTAATTCATTTAATAAACGAATCGGTGCTGTTAAATTAGTCAAAAGTGACTTATTCAGATTTAGACAGTAACGTGACTCATAAACCGACCCTAAATTATAGATTTTTTTTAATTCGACAATTAAACAAGTTGAGTAAAGGTTTGAAAACTAATGAATTCAGAGAGGGTGGGAGGAGTGGAAGAAAGACCTGAAAAGAATTTAAAAATCCACTGCTCTCTTATACACCTTCTTTTATTACGGTCCTGCCCTCAAGTTCGTTTCTCTCTCAACAATATTTCTCTCTCTCTCTTTCTCTCTCTCTTGCTCTCTATCCCATCCCAAGCAAAAGAGAGGTGGCGAGGCCTCCACTTCCTAAGCTCAGTCGCTCGCTAGAATCGAGACGTGACGGATGAGTTTCATATGCCGCTTTGTAGTCGTGTTGCTAAAAATTGTGCACGAGTTTTTCATTTGAAAAATACTCGTTGCTTCAAAAATTCATCACAATCAGTGGGAACATTATCAAAACGAGCTACATTGCGGAAAGCAGCGAAATTTCATCATCATTATTATTATTATCAACCGAAATTCCAAAGGGATTTAAAGCAATCGAGGAAGGAACGAGTAGAAGAAATATTTCTCCAGTCAGCGGTGCTCGTTTACATTCTCGAGTGTTGTCTCAGTGTTACTATAAAATACGGATTTTCTTGATACTGTGATAAAATTTGTCCGTGTTCTTTTTTTTATTTTCCACAAGTTTCTGTTGCTCACGTGCGCGACAATACCAAAAAAAACCACTGCTAATTTCGCTTCAATTTTGTAAAAAAGTGCGCGCCTAATTTGTAATTACTACAGGTTATTCTGATTTTGAAAAAAAATTGTGCTAAAAAACACCTTGTGTGGATTAACCAAGTACTTCTGCTCTTCTTAATTCTCAATCAATGAACAACAGTGATTTTGTGATTTATTCGCCCAATTCAACGGGTGTTTAATAATTTGAGGATTAAATTGAGGTAATTACTCCTTAAATAATCTTTTAATAATAATTAATTACGTTATCAAATCCTAATAAAATGAAAACATATTTTTCTGAACCAGTAACACTTCCTAAAAACGTACTCTATAAAAATAAGTAGTTTCCTTATTACAACTTCCGTTTTCTCAATTACAAACTACAATAAGGACATCCTTCTTGTAACTTAACGTTTTGAAGCAAAATTTGAAAATTATTTCCACTTGAGAAAATCTATTATTACCTGATTTTGTTTTAATGCATTATTTCTGTAGCCAGTTCCAAACTGAAAATACACTTTTTGGCAACATTTTAAATTCCCGGATGGAACTTTTATATCTGAATGGATAAAGCCGCGATTAGAGAAATTGACGATTGCTTTTTCAACACCATAATAGAATTAGCTGGTAAAGAGATTGAAAACGATATTTTTCGAATTGAAAATTTTGCGTTGGGGCGTAAAATGGTAACATTCATCGTGTCGGGGTTGTTCATGTACAAATGTGTCGCCGTGACGTTCCATGCGTGCGCAACTATTGTAAACAAACCGCCTCGGCAAATTTCCATCCATCGCGTGTTGTTTCCCTATATGTATATAAGAGAGCCACGAGTCGGAAGTCACCTTCCACTTTATTGAGCACGGAAAAAACGACAGCTGCTTGGAAAATCAATTTTCAATCTTAGATTAGGAATATCATTTTTTCTTTTTAAAAGTAACATCACTACCCATTAATATACATAGAGTCTAATACTGAAAAAGTAAAGTCTGACTCTGTTTACATCTTAAAACTAAACTGACTGAAAAATCATCCAATTTTTTGGCTCAAAATAAGTTTAAGTCCATTCTTGTGCATAAGGGATTACGCCACCCTGAACGCAAAAATTTTTTACGGTTTTAATGGAATTTTTTTTATAGATATAACTTTTTCATGCACTAATGGCATAAAGTACATGTATTTAAGTTTTCAAAAAATCAAAGAACATTAAAAAATTTTTAAAATATCGAGGATATGATGATTCTTGAGCGACCATGCTTTTTGCAACGGTGGGCATGATAACTCAAAAAATATTTGACCGTTTGACTTGAAAATTGAAACATAACTTCTTAAAAAAAATTTTATCAACTTTTTTAAATCTGGTTTTTTTAGATCCTCAATTTTTTTTTTTTTAAGTACTCCTAATTGCATAGAAAATTTTTTAAATAAAAACTTTTTAATATTTTTTTAATGTTCTTTGATTTTTTGAATACTTAAATACATGTACTTTATGCCATTAGTGCAAGAAAAAGTTATATCTTTAACAGTTTCGTAAAAAAATTCCATAAAAACCGTAAACATTTTTTGCGCTCAGGGTGGTGTAACCCCTTAAAATTATATGCAATGAATTCATTCGCTATTCAATCTCATATGATCGGAAGTTGGTTTAAATCAAGATTTATTTATTTTTTACAGTAAATAATTATCGTTTAAAAGTGTCTTGTAAAATACACGGGAAAAAAATACTTTTACAAATTTTACAAAACTTAAACCCGTGTTCACTACTGGCGCAGTACAGAGACCAGTACCACATCAGAAGTCAATTTTTGGTAGGGAAGTTTTGTAAAATTTACAAAATATTTTTTGAGAAAAAATCAAGCAAAAATAGTAGACAGTAACTATACTACTTTCGCGCGTGCGCTCTTCAACGATATTCCTAGAGCAACATACCCCATTTGCAAGATTCTCTACTATTTTAATATAGGACCCTGCAAATTGGGTATGTTCTTCTACGAATATTGTAGAAGAGCGCAAGCGCGAAAGTACTATAGTTACTGCCTCTACTATATTCACTTGATTTTTTTTCCGTGTAGAATGATAGAATCACCAGAACTGGTACTTAATGTGTTTATTTTTCCATCGCATTCTTCGTAAACTTCTTTATCTTCCTCATCCTTGGTTATTTTTACGATATTAAAAGAATAAGGATAATAAGAAAAGTTTCTGGAAACTTTTTATTTTAAGTTTGTTAGACAATTGTGATGGGTATGCCAGGAAATTCAAAATTCTAATCTATTTTGAGTGCAAAGTGTCCATTGTTCTTCATGCAAAAGACCTTTTCATTATTTCGGGATGATTGATAGAAAAGCTTGTATCTTGATGTGTACAGACTCCTAAGAAAATTGAATTTATTATGCTGCATTTACGTCCTTTACAATACAAATAGATTGTGGATTATGCCGAACAAATTTGTCATAAATGTTCACAAATGTGTTTTTCTTTGTAAAATACCATGCTTTGTTTGTTTCCCTAAATGATTTTTCGATTAAAAATCTGTTTTTTACACAGGAAAAAAAAAGTTTTGTTTCAAACCCGAAAAGAAGCTAGTTTCAATATGGGACACAAACTAGACCGAATATAGTTTCTAACTCGCTCATAGCATAAGTCTTACTTTAAGCCTGCTGTAGGGGCTAACAATAAGCTGCCTTTCGAAATAGAAAGTAGCCACAAGCCCGAACCTGGGCTTAAATCAAGCCACTGCGCGGTATAAAAATTAGCTAACATAACCTAAACTTTTATGAAACCTGTCAACACCATATTATTGAAATTTTACACAAGTTTTGAAACATCAAACAACATTTTATTGATATAAATCATACTTTTTATATATATATTTTTATATTTGTGTGAAAATTGTAATAAAATTATGTTGTATATATAACATTATTTTCACACTCATAACAATTAAAGCTGAATTTATAGGACACAAACAACAATTCATGGTATGAAAATGTTTTATAAACATAGTTTTTAAATTTTTTATACAGGAATGAATATGTAAGTCTTTTGAATGAATTCTTTTAGTTCCGATTAACTATAGACGCGTCACATTTTTGGAAAGGCGTCCATGACACTTTACACTCGGGCACTTTACAACTCACTAGTATCTAGACCTCATGGGCTTGATTGAAGACTTTTAACGTCTCATTTCTAGCGAATAAAATTTTGTATTGAGTCCAAGACCACAAAGGCTTGTTTTGAATCTAATAGAACTAAATATTTGTCATATTAATATCTCGTTTTTCATTAAGACCTCAACGGCTTATTTTTAGACCATTATTTGTGATTAATATTAGTTATCGGCTACTTTCTAATCAAAATAAAAAATTAGACTATGCTCGGAATAAGCCTTTTTTTCCTGTGTAGTTTCCCAGTCTTCTTTAAAGAAGATATTTTTTCTGAGGATTGAAAAAAATAGTCCTGGGGCCCATTTGACCGCACAGTGACAAGTAAGGATTAAAATCTAAATTTAAAATGCTTTGAACTATGTATATTTAAGATTTTTTGTGTAGCCAATAGCCCTAACTAACAGAATCACATGAAGTAAAACATGTACAGACAAACCTCTCTACCGAGAACCGATCAGAGAGCAGTCTGTGGTAGAGAAGAAATTTTTTTCCGTGCATATGAATTAAAACAGAATTTTATGATTATTAATATAAATAGCGTCCATATACGCTAATTCATCAGCGTACATACGCTGTTTGAATCAGCTGCATACAAGGAAAAAATTTTCTGACATGTCTTGACAGAAATTCTGAGTCGGCGTTATTGGCTACCATGGATATTTTCATCTTGTACTTCTGCCTTGACAATTGAAAAAACAGTCTAGATCATTTTCGAGGAATTTGCTTCTCATCTAGAGTGGCATATTATATATTAAGTCTCAACGATATACATACATATAGTTGAGAGCGTTCATGTGACAATGGATATATGAATAAATATGGAAATTATATGAGCGATGCAAAATTAGACCTATACACATGACGGAAGAGAGAATTCAGTGCTGTTTATAAGTACGGGAAGTAGATAGCGAGGTATATATTGTGCGAATGATGATTAACAAAAGTGCAAAACTACGTCATTAAAATTCTCTTTTACTATAGCATATAAAAATAAAGAATCGAGATATAATGAAATATTGACATCTATCTTTATCTAATTCGGTTCTAATAAGAGAGAGAGAGACAAAACGCTACCATAATGTCTTTTTTATTAAGAGTGAGTTCCTCCTCATCATATGGATACAGAATGAATACGTAGGTTGCATGCATGCATAAGTAATAAAGTTGAAGCTAGCGAACATACACTTATCACGCGTGTGTCTTATATATGTAATTACATAAAAATCCGCGTTTTATCTTTTTGTTGCGTATGTGAGCAATACTTACCTAGCTTTAGTAGCAGTGAGCTGCCATCTCTTAGCGCGCGAGAAACCTCCAAATCGTTCTCCCTCTCCGTCTTCCTTTTCCCGTACAAAGTCTTTTGTCTTTCCTTACACTTCCTCTTTGCACAATATATGTATATGTGTGTATATCTATATGTGTACACACACATCGCGCATTCTTTAAAGACCTACTATTTCTTTTCGAACAAGTATTACTTTATGACGCAGCTATTTTAACATTTAAAATTGTGTTTTTACATCTTACCGCGAGGAAGTTACGAGATTATTTCGAAACTGATAAATTACTAATAAAAAAGAAATGTCAGAGCCATTAGATTTGTTACAGCATCAGAGTAGTAATAATTACGCAATTTCGTCTACTGTTTCTAACGCCGTGTTTTTCTATAGTAAATGGAAAAATGGTTTAAAAGAAATCTAGGTTTTTTTGCATATGTAGTTATATTGAATGGTTATACTGTTTTAAAACCACAATATTTTAGATGGAACTAAATGGAATGAAGCAATAAAAATCTAAAATTGAAAATTGCTAAATATGGTTAACTTACACCGATTGACAAAATTCAACTTTTTTTTTGTCCTACAAAAAAATCAAACATTTTCTGAAACTAGGACAAAAAAATACCTGTATCTGGCCGTTTTTCTAGTTCAAGTCGTTTGCGGTTTTTAGGGGTAAAAACAACTCCTAAATGAAAAGTGACAATTCACTGCAAAAAGAAGTATCTTAATATAAGATGTTTTGGTAGTAACTTTTTAGTTATTTGAAATATCTTAGTT